ATGAAGGGTGCCTTTAATGTGTAAATGTTTAGTACATATCCTATATCTCATTAGCCAAGAACAATACAAACCACACACAGGCAAGAAGGGTCAGAAGCAAGGTCCAGTCAAAGGAAAAAATCTTTTATGTTCTAATTAAATGAGCAAACATTTGGAATACATCTATCTCATTTGCAAATGGTTCATCAAAAAATACACTTGAAATCCACAGGCCAATGTGTTCTAAAGGCCTGAGGAGTCTAATATCAAATGGTGCATCCTGAATTAGAGTGCCATGTTGTAATGCATGTCTTAAAGTTCTTCCTACCGCAGGTAGTATCACAAAATACTTACTAAGGATAGAAAAGAAGCAGTTCCATATAAAAACATAAAGGTGTACTTTTCCAAATTATTTCTGCTGTTAGTTTCAGCTTTGGCAAGCAATATGTAACTTCAGAAATTAAGCTTAACTGAAGCCAAGCTTTCACTTTTGTGAAAACAAAGCCATTTTCTAGGGAAAAAGAAACCATTTTATTGGGAAATAGCCTCTCCATTAGAAGAAAGTTAGAATCTCCAGTTTCATTTCATTCCCTAACTACAAGAAAAAGAAGCCCAAGCCTGTGAAAAACAGACCCCCTCTTCCCCCCAAAAAGCTGGTAGAAATGTTTGCAATTACCTTGAGCCATGTCTCATGGGCAGAGCAAAGGCACAGTGGTCAGGTGGAGAGAGCTCCTTGCCACACACGTTCTGAAAAGACTTTTCCCTCTGCGAGATAAGAAATTTGATAGCTCTGAGTGAGAAACAGGAGGTTATAGTCACACACTCTCAAGTGGTTATCCCTGCCATTTCCCTATTTTGGCTGGGATTATACTGCTTTCCTTTGAGAAAGTTTTCCAGGCTGAGACGAGAGTCAGGCTCAATCACAATAGGACTCAAACTAGGCTTTTGCTCAGCTGCATTTCTCATGGTTACCTTTAATCTCCTCTAGGCTGTAGTACTTTAGACATCTGATTCAACAGTTTAGACAGATACAATAATCAGCCATCCAATAGGAAGAGGAACAAAGGGCAAACCAAAACTGCAATTTAAACAGAGAAAAAACATTAGATTTTGCTACTATACTTTATTATGAAGATCAGGAGGTACAGGTGAGTGGCACAGGCTGCTGAGCAAGGCCGGAGCCTCAGGGATCCCCAAGTGTCTGCTGCAGAGAGAAGGGGAGAGAGAGACTGGTTTCTTGTAGTTCATGTTTGCAAGAGGACACAGAAGTTGCCGCATTTCTAAATTACCTCACAGGAGTAATAAGAACAGGTCTGTAGATACATCTATACAGTGGAGGGTTTTAACACCTAGCGAGACCTCAATTGACCAACTGGCTTCTCAGCAGAGCTAAATAATCTGTAGAGACTCATCTACCACTACAATTATACTGATTATGTACTGAGCAATACAGAATACGACTGCATTGCAGCTGGTGAGTACTTCTGAGAAAGGAGTAGTCTCATTTTGTCTTGCATGGGATCACATTAAATATATTTATCAAGAGAGACTTAGTGCAGAATGCAGACAAGGATCTTCTGGAAGTTGTCTTAAATATTCCCAGCCTGAAAAATTCCAAAAAAACCCCACATTTGACAATTTTGGCTATCAGTATCTCAAGGGAGGTAACATATTTTGATTACTGGAAAAAAATGGGTCTTATTTGTAGTACTGGCAAGTTGCATAAAAATTATCTGCATTTATTCACTTGTTATGCAACTTTTGAAACCTAAGATTTACATAAATCCCCATGATGAGTTTATCAAATTTTGCAGATTCTGTGGTCCAGCCAAACATGTTATTTTTCCATCTTTGTTTTTAATGTTTTGAACTGCTTCCTCTGTACCACATCTGAGCTAGAGCAAAGTGCTGAGCATCTGCCCTTCTCTGCCAGGGCGTTTAGGTCCGGGAGAGCAAGGCAGAGTCTGTCAGAGGGTAGGCCTTAGCCCACCGCTGTCATGCTCAGGCTTTAGCTGCTCCTCTTGCCCTTCTGCTCTCCGGTGCCAGTCAGCAGCCGGATGGTGCCAGGAAGCAGCCTGCTTGCCTGGCAGCCTGTGGCCCTCCAAGGCACTGCATCTGCTCCTACGGTTGTGCCCTCCTCAGAGCCGTCTGCGCAGGGCTGATGGGCTTGTTCCTTACCCCATTACCCTGCCCAACCTGTCTCTGGTTTAGGTGATGCCTCTGGACCAAAGCTTAAGTTGGAAAGAGTTGCTTTTTGGGGAGAAAGACAGGGCTGCTTCTGTTTTCTCCACTTGGACCCGCTCGGAGGGGAATATGGGACGAACACTCATCTCACCTGGCCCGTGCAGTGATCCTAGCCATCACTCGCTTCTCTGTAGGCCATGTGGGCACTCTGATGTGCAGCAGATTTCTGGCTGGCTGTGTCCCAATTCTACACAGAAGAGATGAGAGAACCTCTGGTCATTATTATTTATTCACATTACACAAAGTCAGATTAATTTGGTTTGTCAGTTCAGTTGCAATAGTGCCCTGGTCCTGTATGTGGGTTCTTTTCTTCTGTCTGCTTTTCTCTTCCACAAGTTGATCCCTTTGCACTGCTGAAACCTGATGACTTGCAATCAATAGTCTGTAAAACAATAAGGTCAGTAGTACAAACATTCAGATTTTCTGCCTCTAAATGCAGTAATACTGCTCTGCTGAGCCACTGAGGTGAGACTGACCTTAGCTGACTGCCTGACAGAAGAACAGGGTGGGGAGGAAAAGGATTAAAAATGCCAGGAGACGTGGAGCTGTTAATATAGTATCTGTCTACTTCATATAGTTGGGGGAAATACGGCTGCATAAACTTACAATAGGGTATGACTGACAAATATCATTTTCTTATTAAATATTAAATCACTAGTAGAGCCTGTGGCTGGCAATCAGCTTTCCAAGCTGCATACTTTATACTGCAACCTTGCAAAATGATCATGAGCATTTACTAGCCCAGTCATAAGATCAGCCTTTACAATGACAGGGTAACAGGAGCCTAGTGGTATTTTATTATATTTATTGGTGTATTTTTGGATATATTTATTGCATGGCTCCGAGCAAACAGAAATTTGCAAGACTTGCACGAAGGACAGAAATATTGTAAGGTGACACACTGTAATACGATGCCCAATTCCCAAGAGGAGCTAAATCCAGGTTTCTGAACCGGATCTCCTAATCAAGCTGGCACCCCCAGCACCTCTGAACAATTTGGGTGACGTCTGTGCTAGGTGGACATTTATGTAACTACTTTTGGTACAGAAACTGGCATCACACTTAACCTATAGTCCAACCTACTCACCTCCAAGTTGATCAAGGCTGTCTAATAAATCCATTATAGTTTGACTACCCTGAACCCAACAGGATCTCACAGTGGCTCAGTTACACCTGTTTCTTGTTGCACTCACAAAATAAAACAAACTTAAGGACTTCAGTCAGTGAAATGATGCAAAGGGAGAGATTTTCCTCAAATTTTGACGAACTGTTTGGCATATGTAGAACCCAGAGGTGTGCTGAGGTATTCAGAAATGATTCAGACAGTTAAGTCCACATAAACATGTCTATTATTCTTTGCCTAAATAATGGAGAATGTATCACTGACATGAAAAAAAAAAAAAGATGAATTTGCCTAATATGTGAGTAGAGCCGGGAAGACGGTACCACACTGATGGCAGTCAGCAGTGAGTGGCAGAGCGGTGCGGGGACGGTTACACAGGGTCAGTTGGCAGCACTGCCCTAACCCGCCGGGCTAGCGGGGCAGGGGGAGCTATTCATAGTCAAGAACTTGCACGGACAACTTAGCTCCTAGAAAAGAGAAAAGAAAGAAATTGCTTTTTGACTAAAAGATGAAGGCTTCTTTTGTGGTTTGAGGCTATCTGATCAATGCTTGTCCAAGAAATTATTGCTAAAGTGATTACTGGGAGCGTTGTGGCAAGTACTGCGAGTTTGCCAAGTAACCCCTGAGCAGACGGACACAGGAGCTGGGTGACCTGTTTCTGCGTCCAGCTGCCTGATGAAAACTCTCCAAACTAGTTAACTGTGTAAATACTCGTGATCGTGAAGTTGCTGTAGGCGTTTGATTAGTGTTCACTGATTCTCACGTAAGTTCACTGTTAGTTTCAAATTTTACATTCCTACTACTAAGTCAATTTACTAAATACTATTAAATAGTTCTGTTACGTTAGTGTCTGGAGCTCACATCAGAAAAGCTGCAAGACTTAGCCAATCTAATTAAGGCTCAATTTCTGCCTGAAATTAAATTAATAGGCATAAATTGGAAGAAATTCTGCTGTAATGAGGTTCGCCTCTTGAAAGTGACCAAAATAGATCATAATAATAAGAAAAACAAACAATTGAGCAAAAAACCAAAAGATTAGGAAGACAGAGCAAAATCATGAACAAATTTCTCATGGACATTTTGACTTTTCTGCAATATTAATTTACTTAATGTCACACAGTTTCATGTTACAGTAGCGATAATCTTAATAGGAACAGCATTCTGCCTTGGAACTAATACAATAGGGGAAGTATTTGCACACTTAACTTCAGTTTAGGTGCCTATACTTAAATCTGTGAGAGTCAGGAGCTCAAATACACTTACAAACCTTGTATTACTCTTCAAACATAACTCTTCAATCCATGGATAAAGTTCTGTTTTTGTCTGGGTACTGATCATCTGTCTGCTTACTCATGGATAAAAGTATAAATCTGAATCCAACTTCAGATGCCTATGCATTTATTGCTACAGATTTTGAAAAGATTTGCAGCGGTGCCTGTGCCTGAGTATAGTCGTGAAATCAGACCTGGATCCTTGGAATTGCTCATTGGCTATGAGTATTTGCAAAGAGCACTGCTCATTTTTAGTCTTGGGATTCCAACAGGCGAGGCTAAATCCGAAGCGGCCCGACGCTACCCCCTCCTACATTCCCATATGCAGCTGCACATTCTGAACGCTGTGAAAGCAGATCACAGAGCACACTGTATCTGGCAGACATTTATACAAGATAGACAAGCCACAAGAACTGTTAAGGTTAATAATGGGTAGCATATGCAGTTCATGCAAGTTCATGTGAGAAAAGCCCTGCTCTGAAATGAAAAAAATAAAGATGTAGCAAAAGATAAATCAGTGCCTTTGCCTCTGTGAAACATTTTGCCCCAAATCCCTAAACGTTGATGATAAATAAAGTTCAAGAATTTGTTGTCCCTACCTTTCATTAAGGGCATTTGCCAGCACCATGTTAAGGTCATCTGCAGATAAGACAAAAATCGGTCTCCTCGCGGTTCGATACTCCACTTCTCTGCTGCTATGAAGCAAAGCTTCTCCTTATTGGGACTTGGCCAACACAGAAGTCTGCAAGCACTGTAACAACCGCCAAGCTCCATGCTAGTGCCCCACCAGCACAGAGGGACCTTTCTTGTTTCTAGTGGACACCATTCGGTTCTTAAATTCATTTTTCAAAAGGGCCCTTCCATCTTCTCCATCTCCGTCTACTTCAAACTGACAGGAAAAACGAAGACCCCACTCAATTTAAAAAAAGTAGAGAGAGATGAACTCCTAACAAACAAACAAAAACAGTTCAAAATTTTTACTTCAAAAGCACAGCAGTAACTTACCAGCAAGTACTGAATTCATTAATGATGCCTTACTCATGCTGCTACCATTAAGACTTTACCAATGTTAATGTTCAAAATATTTTAAAGAGCTAACTGCTTTATTGCTTCGAAATATCTCACTTTCTGCCCAGGAATGAATCTTCACATTCATTTTTAAAACAATCAGTTCTTCTATGTGGAAGCTATGCAAGCTTAAAATTAGTCCATCAGTCTTCAAAGACAAATAAAAAACAACAGGCTTCCTTATTCTAAAACACTTTCCTTTTCTACTCACCTTCTTCCACACTTCCTTTTCTTTTTTTCTGCAGCAGGAGCTACTGCAGCCTTGTAATGGGGTAACAGACACACGCACAAACACGCATGAAGAAAAAAATAAAGACCAGTCCCTTATAACCAGCCTATATAATACTCTCCTACGATTTTGCCTTGCTCCTACTGTTCTTTCGCTCTTTTCCTTTTCCCTTTCCTTTACATATACATACTTTCTCTGCTAACATTTTATAGTGATGTTAATTGCCCTCAATGTTGTGGATCCAGGGTTAACTGCAGTCCCCAAATGCTTCAGTTTCCAGTGCCTCTTGATATTGAGCGCTAGCACTGCTTTTTGAGACAAAAAAAGCAAGTTTTTGGTGATACCCTGATATGCATGAGATAGTCATCGGCCTAGACCATCAGATTTTGACCTGTAGCAAAACTTATGCCAAAATAGTTAGAGAATGGTGAAGAAAGAGGTTTGGCCCTACAGTGCTGGTTTCACCAGGGACAAGGCCAATAGACAAGCTTCGAAAGCTGGATTACCATTTCCTGGGGATCACCAGTGCTGGCATCTGCGGATCCGAGGCGAGCGTCCAGGCTTATGCCTCAGTCATGCCAGCTACAGTCAGTGGGAGACAGAGAGCTCCTCGACTGCAAATGACCCTGTAGCAATTCTGGCCTAGTTAGATCTAGAATTACACCTTGTTATTGCAGTTTATTCTGTATACAGCAACTGAGAAACAATTTAGAAGAACATGAAGAAAGAATACATAGGAAATGGGACAGCAGTTAAAAAGCAGGCTTTCACGCTAAAACGTGTGGATTCTGCCAGAGAGGAAATGCAGATGTGATCAGGCACCGCAGCATCGCTCGCAGGCGCTGAAGCCGGGCTTCCCGCATCGGCACGCAGCCTCACGCAGCTCCTCAGCCTGCTCCGTGGCGTCACAGCTCGTAACGCAATGGGGGCAGCGTAGTTAACGTCACTTTCTTGATAAAACACTACATACACTAGCAAACCAATAAATACATCAATTCAATCAGAAGATCCTCGTCCCAAACGCTTCTGCAGCTTTCAAATGTTCTGTTTCACAGCTGCAATCTTCGTGTCGAGGTAAGCTGCAAAACACGGAAGAAACTATTTCTCAGGCTTAAAACAAAGGTAAACCAAGCGTGCACAAAGCAAGCGCCCGCGGCCGCCGCCGCCGCCCCGCGGGACGCGGAGCCTCCGAAAACGCCGGGGCTGGTGCGCGCGAAGACCACGGGAAAAACGAGCCGAATCAACTGCGCTGCGCCTCAGCTATTAAAGCGCTGCTGTCAGCCCGCGTAACTCTCACCAGCTCACAATAAAAATGTTTTGACGTGCAATCTTGTGCGCGCTTCAATAATAGTTACCTCACAGAAAATTCAGCTGGGGAAATATTTCTCTTTCCACTCCCTCAGAATCAAGAACATTTCAGAGAGATACAAGGCCTGTTTTAAAGGGCACCCTGTCAATGACAGTAGTCAGTAGGACAACCCTGTAAATTGCAGTGTACAGAACAGTCGTGTACAATAGAACTGCTATATTTCATAATAAAAACCAGCTTATCACCAGGGACAGAAGGCTTTAGTTTCTAATAAAAAATACCATCAGATCAGACAGTGCTTATAATGGAAAATTCAGGTTCTCACAGTTGAGTTGGGCATGCTGGTTTGCTCCAGCATGAGAAGAACGGGTGTAGTTTACTTTGGGTGACTGTGGATCTAGATGACCTTGTGCTTAGCCCTGTAGCAGTTACCAGCATCCTGAACTGGTCTGATGCAGAGATCAGGTGCTACGACCCCTCCGCTCCCCCCGGCTCAGGAGGACACCTGAGACCATCTCTACCGTTACAGACTAGGTCCAGCCAGGGTCAGTGAAGCAGCTGACCTGTGAATAGGGTCTTGCTGCTGAACTGGGCTCTCCACTGAACTCCTGTTTTAAAAGTCACATAGGGATGTGGCTTCATCTCGGAGCAGAAGAGATCTGTGAACAATTTGAAGGTTCAGAGTTCAGGGGTAGTTTGGAAAAATACCCCGCGGGCTGCAGTGCCCGCAGGGGAGCAGTCTGGTTATATAGGTTCTCTGGGCGATTCTGGCATTTCACCTCCAGACTGAAGTCAGGAAAATGCACAGAAAAGATAAATACTGAAAAATACATTCAGACACTTCTCAACTTGGAAACCAGTTTTCCTAAGGTTTAGTCAAAGGCACAGGTCAGTTCTTGTTTTACCCACCCGTGCCTCTTTGGACTAGAAAATATTCAGCGCAGTTTCCTTTAAAATATCAGATAAGCAGCATAAATAGCAGCCCATGAATCAGAGATATGACTAATTACCATTCATTGGAAGTGTGCAACATAAATACCTACTTGTTTCACTATGCATTAATTATACTGGGATCCCTCCAGCTCTGTCACATGCATCCAGGTCTGTTTCCACACTGTTTCCTTCGAATAAATCCACGCCATCATTCTGAAAACTCGTACCAGTGAGGGGGAACTGGAAAGGATGTGAGCCACAGGCATCCTCCCTCCCTGTCTTTGCAGCTCTAGTTCCTGGGGATTAAAGAGGAGAAGGCAGGCTTCAGAGAGTGAAAAAGTCACTAATTTTGTTATTGGCATAACAGTCTTGTTTCAGAGGTACAATCCCCAAGTGACTTTCCTAAGCCATCAAATTGTAAATACTTCTGGGGAGTTTTGTAATTCATCTCAGTAGGATATGTAAACATGACTTAATGGATGCCTTTAATGGTGCCCTTAATGCTGCCTTCCTGCCTCCAGGCTTTTCCCTGGGACACTACCTCCACGGAGGAGCTCTCCCTCTGGCCGCGCACGCAGTACCACGCAGTCGAGGGCACAGGGGAAAACCCGGTCGTTTCAGCTCAGGAAATCTCAGATCTCTGATCTCAGAAATTTTGACTGAAACATGCTTTTCTTAGAAAACACTGAGTCACTGAAACTAAAACTTACCTTGTACATGTATTGGTTTTGAGAGGAAAGTTTATCAAATACAGGATGGAGTTTCTGTGTAGAGAAAAAAAAGACTTCAGAGCTTAGGGCACGCACGTATGGGAGACCCGCAGTCAGCAAAGAGCAGTGATTTATGAAATAGTCACTGAGCCTGAGAGGGAATTAAACAGAGCAAGGATTTGAACCTGAGTGTCCTACTTTCCAGAATATATGGGTTCATGGTCTCAGTATATCCTGTTAGAGCCAATCCATTTTGTAGAGATAATTAAAAATTCAATAAGTCAGGGAGAAAACAACCCAAACCTAGCAGTTATAGTATCTGGTTGAGATACAGGACCATTGTGCTCAAGTCCCTGATTCAAATTAGTCAGGGGAAAGTCTTGAGCACAGGAATCTCCTATGGAGTGAGACTGTGCGCAATGTTGCTTTCCGTCCAGTGTGACACAGAAGCAAACCCAAATTTCTCCATCTTTTTGTGAACCAGAATTCCTTGCTTCTGTCTACCTCAGTGTAATTATGTTAGTGTAAATGAATAGATTGCCAAATTGGGAACTGCATTTATATCCCCATTTTGGCCTCCTACCTCTTTTCACTGCTAAGCCCAAATTTAAACTCTCCACCTTGCATTGCATCCTGACAGGCAGGTCCGAGATTGCTCTGAAAGGAGCAATTTTGTTTAACTTCAAAACTAAAGCTGGTAGGAACTTAGGATGCCCCAAAATGAATTGTGGCAATGCAAAGTGGTGATGTAAGGTCAAAGGGAAGTGCATGACCTGAGTATTGAAAACATCATCAGCTACATCATGAGAACAGATGTGCTCTGTCGCTCCTCCCATGCACATAGGTGGAATAATCTCAAGATCAAAATCTACTCTGAATATCTCCACAAAGCTTTTAGTCCCATTTCTTTACTTTCTCCCTTCTACAGGGATCTTAGTTCTTTTTCTTGGTTTCCCGGTCACTCTGAAAAACCTTCAGAAATTATTCTACAGAAATGCTTCCTGGCTTTAAAAAAAAAAAAAAAAAAGGACATCCCTATCTTGTGCAGTAAGAGCAGGTGGTGGTCTCCTGCATGCACTGCCTTTGAGAGACCCTCTCTGGGGGGTTTTGGCAAGGCCGGGACCAGAGGGCTGTTCTGCCTAGTGCTGTGGTGCTTGGCCATGCAACTCTCTGTCCCCTTTTTCTTCACCATAATAATGGCAGGAGATGGCCCGAGCCCAGGACTTCAGGAGGTGCAGCTCGCACAAAGAACGCAACACCCTGAGAGGGACAGGCTGGGGCCACCAGCCAGCAACAGCGTCCTATCCACATCTCGCAAAGCGAAATCAGTGTGATGTGTCCAAAGCAAACTTGCCAGGTGAAGGGATGTGCTAAATGGTGGCAATTTTCGTTTAACTTCTGCCCTTGTTTAGGAGCACAAAGGGTAAAGAGGCCTCCCAGATGTGTGCTATTTTGTTTGTTGGAAGTTTTTGCCTTTCAACACTGTAGGACATTCAGTGAGCACCACAGGTGAGTTAAGATCATTTTTTAGCAATAATTTTAAGTTACTCTGCTTTGGGTTTATGCTGTATCTTAGTGTTACTCTGATGAAAGCCATAGAGAGTGAATACACACATATACTTGATTTACTAGGGAATCAAAAGATAATGCACATCTATGAGCAAATCATACTCAAAATGCAACGATAATCAAATTGCAACTAATTTATCACTTGGCAGAGAAGCACTACATAAAAACAGAGATTAAGAAGAAACCTACAAGTCAGACAACCCTGCCCCCACAATCCACATCAAGGCAGGCTTTTGGTTATGAAGTTATGTCCTGTCTAACTCGCTGTCACCTTACGGAGAAGGTGCATGTTGTGCAGGAGCCACACTTCTGTGTTGATTCGAACCAAAAGGAACATGTGCTGTTGTTTTGGGCTCCGTTCCACCACGGCAGGCTCTCTATTTAAACCATGTGTTGAATTATAACCGTGTAAGTAGGAGGAAAACGAAAACATATTTCACTGGGTTCTAGAAAAGGCCTGAATGGATGTCATTTCTATCAAGGTTTCATATATGACTAATTGGTTGTTTCTTTGTCCTATCCAAACACCCACCACTTACGCTCTGCCATCAGATTTAAAGTGACCTGCTGTGTTATAAGTCTAGAGGTGACTATCTCAACTGCTGTGTGCACAGTCCATAGCCCTGTCTCTTACCAATCAAAGCTGATGCACAGAGGTGATTTTTTGGGTGGTGTAGGGTGATTGCTAAGGTTGGAGCTGGACATTTGTTTTTCAAAGATGATGGGTTATTTTTAGCGTGTTCTAAAGCTGCCAGGATGAGCTTTGGAGTTTCAGGGTAGTACCAACACAAAGTGCTCCTGTGTTTTTCTGATGCCCCTGAGGTTAATGTGTGATTTTGTAGGTTGGTCTTGCTGGTTGTACTAAGGCTGACTTATGTTCTTCTGAAATGACTACTTGCAATCGGGCCAGTCCTCTGGTAATTAGCTGCTGTTCAGTGCCAGGAACCTGATCTAAGTAACATAAGAAGAGGTGTGGAGCGTTAGTGCTGAGACAGAGCACAAGGGACGCCTGCGCTCGGATCACGGCGCTAGCGCTGGACCTGGCCAAGACAACATTACTAAAGCCCTGCGTGATGTAGGTCTGTCTCCTGCAAGATGGGAATAAGTCATGTTTGCCTACTATACAGCAGTACTGCAATAGGCTAGCTGTTGAATGCCTGTGCAGATGCACTTCACTGCTCAGAAAGCTCCAGCAGCTAATCAGGTTTTGGACCCGAGTTTATTATTTAGTTCCATACAGTTGAAATGGATCTATTTTCTGGTCCATCTTTAACTCTGTATGCCTGGAAAGGAACTTGCTTCTAATCTATGCACCTAGCTTGGAATCAATTTCATCAGCAGAGGAACTGAACTGACAGGATTTCTGCCAATTTGGGCTGACATAATTGTGAAAGAGATTTTGAGATTTTGCTGTCTTTGAATCAGAAATACAGTTTAGCCTCAATTTATCCTTGAACTTGACTTTAATTCAAATCATCTAACCTCACATTCTCCGATTTTAACTGCTCTTCCCCTCCCTCCCCCAGTAAAACAGCACTGAAACGGAAAGAAAAGGCCTAGTTTGTAAAAAAGAGAATGCCCTGATGCTAGTGATGTGAGCGAGCCCGACAGTCTAACTCTTGATGTTCATTCTTGCTCAGCTACAGTGAGGGCAGATTAAGGATAAATTACTCAGTGAGCAAATGTCTTGTTTTCTCTGGAACTCCACCTCTTTCGGGCATCCTGCCTTATCCCCACCCCTTGCACTTGTCTGCATGTCTTAATGGCAGTATTCATGCAGCTGGTAATTTATGTGTCTGAGAGAGAAGATTTACACAGAGCCTTCACTTCAGTTATTCAGAAAATTTGAGATACAGTATGTGATTTGTTAGGTCCCAAACTCTAACTGAAAAATCACAAAGGTCTTAAGGGCTGCGCTTGAGTGAAAGAAATTTTAAATGAAATGATTTAAACTAGAAGTTGTTCCGTCGGTCCTCTCTTTACACCCAGTTACAAAAGTTTGTCTTCAAAATAAATACAATGCCTATTGTAACATAAGCACACAGTAATTTGGCTTTGACTGAAGTAGCTTGACGTCCTGGGCTGGAAGACACAGGGAGCTGATACAGTTACTGAAATCTATTTGATTCAGTCGGTGTCTAGTGTCGTAAACATGAATTGTTAATTTCATATCGCCCATAGCAGGCGCACTGTGAATGTTTGCAGAGTTTATAGGGTATCAGTTACAATACGATTATACCAGCCATTCCTCAGGACTGACATGGGTTTCAAATTAGAAGCTGACAGGCCTCACCTGCTCCCGAGTTCAGCGACAGGTCACCCTCTTGTCATTTTGGCTGTACCCCTGTCAACATGACATCTGTGTTCAGAAAGGGACAGCGAGGACTGTAAGTTGTTAGAATTGCTGAAGAATAAGAATAAGGTGTCATCTACTCCAATAATGTAGCGTTCAACTTTGGCCTTTCATGCAGCTCGATGCTTACAACACCTGACTCTGTTTCCAGCTACAAGAATAGCCAGACCGGGGGGTCACCAGTTGTTCCCGCTTCCCCCCATGGCTGCTAGGCACGCGGCTTAGCCCTGGCTGCAGAGCAGCGACAGCCCCAGAGACCTGATGAAGTGGCCTGAGTAAAGAGCTTGCAAAATGCCTTGATATTCTACATATAGGTCTTTAAGTTAAATAAAATATACCTTTCAGAGGGCATTGTTACACGTTCATATTTTTAAACAAAATATCTGTGAAAGATAAAAGGTAAATATTATTCAACAAACCATCGGGTAAGAGAAATCTTAAACTTCTGAAATTTTTTAGACTTTTACGTTAATTTCTTTACATGCCATTTCTGTACACGCAAACCATACTTGTATGTGGAAGTGCCCTGACTCTTGAGATCCCATTTCTTCTTAAAAGAAGATTCTTCATGTTCATTCAGCTAATCTAACGCAGCTGAGACAGGTCACTCCAAAATCTATATCCTGACACTTCTCAAAACTAGGAAAATCTTCAGATATGGACTTTGGGATTAGTTCTTACTTCTGTCATTAAGCAAATGGAAATGCCAGAAGATCTAAATATCTTCAAACTTTACAGGTTAAGCATTTGGGCTCTCCTATAATTTGCATCCCCTATAGTTTGCATGCTTGCTAAATAGTCGTCTAATATGTGTGTCCTACCTTTGGAACAGTTGTCCGTCTGTCGTCTTGGAGGCTTGGGCTCTACAGAAATGACAGAAACGTATATATATATATATAGTCCGGTTGAAGTCGTCTGGCCCGTTTCTTTTGCTTGTAAAGTCTCTGAGGGAACTGCCAGTCACGGGGTGTTACAAGCTCTTCCCCTTGTGGCACCAAAATACCGAGAGTCCAGTTCTTACCTTGAACTCAGTTGTGTGCTGCCGGGGAAAGAACACAGACACACTCACAAAGGTAGGAAAGGTTAAAAAAGGTGCAAAATGAGGGACTGAAAGCACTAAAGGAAAACCATTTTT